AAGCAGTATTTGGCAAATATGGACGGATAGTGGAAGGTGAGTTATCTAAAATTATACGCTATATTTTTATAATGAGAAGACAAGCTGTGATGAATTTGAATCGACTGATGATGACCTGACATGATAATGTGTTTTGTCCTCTAAGAAGTTCTGAGCTTGCTTTTTTAAAGTTGCTCCGGTGATTTGGTTTGAAGGAAACTCACCGCCTCCCCCCTCCAACTGTTTTAGTGCTTTTGATGAAGGACCGAGAAACCAACAAGTCAAGAGGATTTGCTTTTGTCACATTCGAAAGCCCAGCAGACGCAAAGGATGCTGCCAGAGATATGAATGGAAAGGTGTGGTTGTCTCTTAATAAAAAGGGGTTTCATGGTGACAACAATAACTAATTTCCTAGTGACAAAAATACTGTTGTCCAAGCATGGGTCCAGAGCAGCTTTGGAATTTTCATTTTATGTGTGTATAGCCAGAGACTTGATCGTAGCCATTAGTAGTACTATCCTGAATTGTATTGTATTGTTTTTTTGTTCAGTAAGTGGAGTGGAGGGGGGTGTCTCCGTAGTCTTGTCTATATAGACCAGGCTGACCTCAAACTCGGGTCCTCCTGCTTCTGCCTCCCGAGTGCAAGAACAAAAGACCAAGTCTCTATTGTGACTTTTATTGTGAGTCCACAACCAAAGTTTGTAGCAAGTGGGAAGCATTATATGCCTAACAAGAGTTTCTCAGTTTCTTCTAAATCATGATAAAATTTATATTTGTTTTTTTGTTTTGTTTTTTTTTTTAAAATAGTCCTTAGATGGAAAAGCCATCAAGGTGGAGCAAGCCACCAAACCATCATTTGAAAGTAGTAGGCGTGGACTACCTCCACCTCCAAGAAGCAGAGGCCCTCCCAGAGGTCTTCGAGGAGGAAGAGGAGGAAGCGGAGGAACTAGAGGCCCCCCTCACGTGGAGGACACAAGGGTAATGATTTGATTGGAACTCAGGCTTGGTATTTAAGTTGAAAGCTGGAGACCCACACCTGGGTCTTTCTTTTTGAAAGGCTGAAATAGTAGTTCTCAACCTTCCTAATGCTGAGACCCTTAAATACAGTTACTCATGTTGTGGTGACCTCCCCCCCCCACACCATATCGTTATTTAATTGCTACTTTGTAACTAATTTTGCTACTGTTGCACGTTGTAATGTAACTATCTGATATACAGAATATCTGATATGTGACCACTGTGAAAGGGTTGTTGGACTGCTAAGATTACAACCCACAGGCTGAGAGCTGCCTTTGAAATGGAGACTGCTCACTCCGTTATTAGTGTAAGTGTAGTGTTGATGACTTGAAAATATGGGAGGCCTGAATTAGAGTTAAACCTATGGGCCAAATAGTCTTACTTAAGGGAAAAAAAAAAAAGAATGACGAGCAGGATTGGGACTTCTTTTCCTAGTCTGTAGGACGTCTGGATTTCGGAAACAGTGTCTCCCTTATTACTTAGTTCAGGCTGGTCCTGAACTCTTGTCATGCTTGATCTTGCCCAATGGAAAACAAACCTAGCCTCCCCAACTAAGCAGAAAAGATGTTTGCTGGGCAGTGGTGGCACCTGCCTTTAAGCCCAGCACTTGGGAGGCAGAGATGGCGGATCTCTGAGTTCGAGGCCAACCTGGTCTAAAAAGAGCTAGTTCCAGGACAGGCTCCATAGCTAGAGAGAAACCCTGTCTCGGAAAACCAAAAAAGAAAAGAAAATGACGCACATAATTCGTTGTGTTTTTTTCTGTGGGGCAAATAGTTCTTAGTCTTCTTGAGTGTTAATGGTTTGTTCTTGACTATTGTGTTAATGAAATGTCTTTCTAATCTAATATAGATGATGGTGGCTATTCCATGAATTTTCCCATGAGTTCTTCGAGGGGACCTCTTCCAGTTAAAAGAGGACCACCACCACCACCACCACCAAGCGGGGCTCCTCCCCCTAAAAGAACAGCACCTTCAGGGCCAGTTCGTAGCAGCAGTGGGCTTGGAGGAAGAGGTAATTGTTGGATGCATTGCAATCTGTGCTCCTCCCATGGCACTATGCTGAGGCCGGGCATGGTGGTGAATGTCCAGTCTTAGCACTGGAGAAGATAGGATTGACATGAATTCAAGACCTACATGGGGAGACCCTGTTTTTTATTTTTGTTGTTTTAAATGCTTGGCCAGTGAGAAAGCTCAGTGGGTAAAAACATTTGCTGCTAGTCAGGCGCAAGAACTTGAATCCAATCCCCCATTCACAGGCAAAACTGAGACGAGTTGTCTGTCCTCTGGACTGCATTTGCATCAGAGCGTGCATATTCCCCCACCGTACACACATGAATATTTTTAATGCTTATGCTTAAGACTGATTTGTGGATTCCAATTAATCTCATATTCATAATTAATGAGTATTGAAATTATGTGACTAGGAAGCTTCCTGTTTTAGCTACATAGGGTATTTGATTAAACCGCTGTCTTGTCCAGCCTGAGTGTAACATTCACACTTCAGTTTTTTTTTTTTTTTTTTTTTTGGTTTTTCGAGACAGGGTTTCTCTGTGGTTTTGGAGCCTGTCCTGGAATTAGCTCTTGTAGACCAGGCTGGTCTCGAACTCAGAGATCCGCCTGCCTCTACCTCCCAAGTGCTGGGATTAAAGGTGTGCGCCACCACCGCCCGGCTCACACTTCAGTTTTTTGATGGCTAGATTTTGATAATGTTTTTTCTCCTTTAAGCCCCCATGTCACGTGGAAGAGATAGTTATGGAGGCCTGCCATGAAGGGAGCCCCTTCCCTCTCGCAGAGATGTTTATTTGTTCCCAAGAGATGATGGATATTCCACTAAAGACAGGTAACAGACAGACAGTGCAGTTGCTTTTGTGAAGAATTAGTGTTGGACGAGAGCACGTCAGAGGCATAAACCAAATTCTCTTTCTGTAGCTATTCAAGCAGAGACTATCCAAGTTCTCGTGATGCAAGAGATTATGCACCACCACCAAGAGATTATACTTACCGTGATTATGGCCATTCCAGTTCATGTGATGACTACCCATCCAGAGGCTATAGGTAAGCAGCTACTTGCATGGCTTGTAAGTATTTGCTGTAAAACTCGTGCCTCCAGGGCTTGGCAGGTGACTCGGCTGTTAAAAGCACCTCCCAAGTAAGCCCTGCAAGCCAGTATCAGCCTTGAAAGCCATGGCAAGGTGAAAGGGGGAGACGAGGGCCCCAAAGTTGTCTTCTCACCCCTGCAGGGTCATCATGGCAAGAACATGTCTCCTCATGCTCACACGGTTATGGAGAGCTAAAAAATGAACAGATTTGACAGTTCTACTTTTTAAGGATTTGGGGGAATTTTTAAAGTGTATTTATTACATTTTATTATAAAATAAACATGTAACTTAGGGGAGATATATATATATATATATATTAATTAAAATTGCTTTTTATTTAGTGATAGAGATGGATATGGCCGGGATCGTGACTATTCAGATCATCCAAGTGGAGGGTCCTACAGAGATTCATATGAGAGTTATGGTAAGATACTGGTTAAGGATCTTAAATATCACCAGCTTGAGGTTTTAGGTTCATGAGCTGGATTAATAGGCTGCGTGGTGCTTGCTTTTAAAGGGACCTTTGCTTGCTTTCAAGGGGTAACTTTATCAGCTGGGCTTTTTCCTAGTTTTGTGAAGGACTTTTTGGTTCTTTCCTTGTTTCGTTTTTGTTTCTTTTCGTTTGAGGCTGTTCGCTTGCTTTGGAGGGGATTTTGCTTGCTGAAATTGGCAGCCTTATGTGTTTTCCCTCAACAGTGAAAATACAATTTTTAAAAAAATTTATTAACAAGATCAAATATTTATCATTGCAATATGAAGGAAACTCAACAGTTCAAAACTGCAACTTATCACTGGAAAGTGGCTGAGTGTCTACTATAAAATAACAAGCTGTCTGGAATATCCTCTTGAAATACACAACGTCTTCAGTCTTTTCAAACAAACATTAAACTCAATCCATTTCCGTATCTCAGAAGATGAGCAGTTCCCTCTTATGGCCAGCAATGGTACAGTTTAAAACTTCCCAGTTGAGAAAGTAAACTTATAATACAAGAATTCTGTAAATTCAGATTTAAATGTTGTATATATACAATTTATAGTGTTGCCATATTACCTGACCATTGACCCTGCAGGTAACTCACGTAGTGCTCCACCTACACGAGGGCCCCCGCCATCTTATGGTGGAAGCAGTCGCTATGATGATTACAGCAGCTCACGTGACGGATATGGTGGAAGTCGAGACAGTTACTCAAGCAGCCGAAGTGATCTCTACTCAAGTGGTCGTGATCGCGTTGGCAGACAAGAACGAGGGCTTCCCCCTTCTATGGAAAGGGGCTACCCTCCTCCACGTGATTCCTACAGCAGTTCAAGCCGCGGAGCACCAAGAGGTGGTGGCCGTGGAGGAAGCCGATCTGATAGAGGGGGAGGCAGAAGCAGATACTAGGAACAAACAAAACTTTTGGACCAAAAGTCCCCATTCAAGGAAACAAACAAAAATGGAACCTTTCTGTCATAAAGTACCCAAGGACTACTAAAAGGAAAAATTGTGTTACCTTTTTAAAATTTCCTGTTCCCCTTGATAATTTTTATGTTCTTGTGAGGAAAAACGTAAGACGTATTTAATTTTATTTGATATTATGAGTTGCTTTCAACAAGCAATTGTTAAATGTGTAAGCCTTGACTTGTACTAGTGTTGTGATTTTTCAAGTAAACGTGTCCCTGAAGGCCACTCCTGATTTTTCTCAGTAACCGAGAAAAGCAATCCTAAGATTTTCCACAAACCTAAGCCATCTAGATGGCCTTTGTTCTGCTGAGCGATGAATCGCCCTGCCTGCCTTTGCAGACAAGCTAGCTGGTAGAGTGGGTTGGTTGGGTGTGCTCCTCTTAGGATTTCAGGATCTCAGGATGTCTTCCAACTGAAATCTCAATGATGACAGTATAAAAAAAAAACCTGAGACCAGATGCCTAAGAATGTGCTACTTGCCCAGAAACCCCAAAAAGCAAATGGATGCTGGCCATATTTTGCTTTTCTGACATTTCCTTGGGAATCTACAAGAACCTCCCTTATTCCCCTCCCCTAGTAAGACCATTTAAGTGTGTGTTAAACAACTACAGAATACTAAATAAAACGTTTGGCCAAAACCAACCATGAAGCTGCAGAAACGATGCTTGCTCTTACTGTTTCAAATTTTTGCAACTCTGTAGTGTCTCACTTTTAAAGGAACAGCTTGATTGCAAAGGAGAAAATAGATAAGCAATGAAGTTATCTCCAACTTCCTAAAGGCTTATGACTTCTAAAAAGTGAATCTATCCGCATTCCACATCAGATTTAAAGCACCAAATGCCTGTGAAACAGCAGAGATGGTAAGCAAAGCAAACTAGTTTTTCCGTCTAAGTCGAAATTGAACACTTACCTTCCTCATAGTACAGTGAACGGTACTGTACTTCATGGCAATGGAAATGCCTTCTAGATTAAAAAAAACCTTTTGAAAAAAAAACCACAAATGTTCAATAGCATACTAGAAGTCTTCCAAATTCAACACTTGGAGTTTTAAAGCATGTATGAGACTTAAAGGCATTAATGCAGCTGTTGTTTATCAATAGCAATCTGGGAATTGGGAGGGGGTGATTTTTTTTTCACAAATTTTTGATGAAGACCTTTAAACATGCTTCACGTTTTGACGTTTTTTTAAATTAGTCTTTTAGTCAATATAAGAAATGGCTTAGGATTGGGGTCCCCCTCTCTGGCCCCTATAAGCCATTGCAAACTTGACCTTTAGTTGGATGCCTGACTTGTTTTAGTTCTATGAAACTACAGTGTATGGAGAAAAAAATCTTTTGCAAGTGGTCTTTAAAAACAGCAGAAACCTGAGGCAGCATGACCCAGGTCCAGCCATGAAGTTGAAAAAGATGCTCTTGAATGTTGTAAACTTGAAGACCTCCAACTAAAAATCCTTAGACTGCACTTTATTCCTTCAAATGTTTTGTCAGTTCAACTTATGGATTTAACGTGGCAGTGCACCATTGGAAAAGAATGAGAATCCATAAGCCATGCAACTTAACCATTTAAGCCATTCCAGTCCATCCTAAACCAGTGAACCTTCCACCAATTAAGACAAGTAGTAGAACATGAAATGATACATTAAGCTACAAGTCTGAACTTGCCTGGTCTCTCTGGGATAAAAGGGGCAGTTATAGGCAAGTGTTTTTAAGATCTTCCTTTAGAGAAATAACTAGCTTTCATTTATGTAATTTTTGCAGGTTGATCCCAATGGTCATACTGTCACGGAGTGCTGATTGGTTCACAGCAGATTAAGTTGGCCGGAAGAAAAAGTCAAATGCTCAGGTAAGTGTTTGAAAGGAGTATCCTTAAAGGTTTAAACACTAGCTTTGTCATTGTGTGGCTATGGCATTAGCAAGTATTTTTCGACTCCTAAATTGTCTATAAACAGAGCTAATGCTCAACTCTGGGCATGAGGATGAAACTGTTTTGTCACTGAATACCGAGCACATGCATTTTGAGTGAAAGTATATAGATGTATGCTCACTAACTAGAGTACCCATAGGATGGTACTTCTAGCTGTTTCTGAATTAGCTAGCACCAGCTCTTTGCCTGCAAGAGTTATTGTGGAAAGAGCCGTCTAGTTCATGGTTTCCTGTGTGAGCAGCGTTGTATGAATTGCATGCAAGCTGTCAGTGCCTGCTTGTTTTTAATGGGCTGGTTAGTGATACGGCTGCCACTGCAACTTCTGAATGTCGTGGGCACAGTGGGGCAGGGTATCTGATTTTCCTATTACAGTGCTGATGCCTACGGTAATTGTAATGAATATGGGTGCATTTTGAAGCTGGCACTTTAGAGCTAATACTTAGACTGGAGAGAGCAAGTTGTGTGCACTGAAGGAGGAGAGCGGGTTGTAGTGCTTTGTGGTGTGAAATACTCTGTAATTTGATCACATGCTTTTTTTGCAGAGTTGTTGAAGCAGAGGAGAGCTGAGGCTAAGCTGCAGCAGTTACATACCCAGTGCCCGTCAGAATTGGTTTGGTACAGGCAATATAGGATTTTCCTGTCCTCAAGGGAGGGAGGCATCAGTGTTGGTTAGACCTTAGTTAGGGAGTGGTGATTGCTTAAAACTGACCAAATGAAGAGAGGGAGACAAAGAAATTGGTAAGTGGAGGTACCTACCCAAGAAGTTCTCATGGCTCTTTGTGTAGATTCAATAGTTTAGGCAAAGTAATGGGACAACTCTCCTGATGATCACTGACTGTAGGAAAATTGAATTAGCCCGGGCTGTAACTCCACGGTGGCGTGCTTGTCTAAATACCAGTGAAGCCTAGCGTTCAACCCCTAGAATCACTCCCACACAGGAAAAGAACACTCAGTCAGAAACCTGATGCTTCTGTGATAACTTTGTCCACTCGTGTCTGACTTTCAGCGAGTAAACCATTTGGGGAATTATCTATATCAGGAAAAATACTCACTTGTCCTAGAAAACTTAGAAGGGGAGGAGTAGTGCCAGAAAAAGAAAGTAAAAACTTTTGAAACATTGTTAGGATCGTGGAAAGCAATTGAAAACAAATATAAGTCACAAGGTCATGGTAGTTTACCCTTTACCCTCAGATGTCAGTCTTTGAAACAAATCATGATACAGCTCTAGTTCATCACTTTGGAAACTAAGCGCTAGTATGCAAGTGCCAATGTTCTCAAAGGAAGCAGGTTGAGTTGTAGGGTTAAAGGAATGAACTCAACTTCTGAGATTTTTCTTACAGAGTCATCTAGTGCTAGCTATTATGATTAGGGAGAATGATCCAAAATTTTAAAACCCCACTGGTCACATTTCTCGTCAGATGAGGTCATTGAGTGAATTTCAGTAGTTGTACTTTGAAGAACATCTTTCAATCCTTTCATACTCGGACGATTCCCTGAGTAGGCACTTCTGTCAAGACCTTTTGGCTCTCGAGCGAGCATTTTTTTTTTACATTTTTTTAGAGTTTCTTAAAGATAGTTTAGTATATGGAATACTACAGTTAATATAAATGCTAAATTCAAAGTAAGGAGTGGTAGAAATTATCAAGAGAACTTTTTGACAAATTAGAGTTTACAGACTCAAGGGCCTAAAGTCTATAATTTGAAAAAAAAGTCCTTGATTCTTCTGGCTATCCACTAGTCATAAAGGAATTTGAATAGTACAGGAATGTGGTTTATTTGGTGCTTGGATGTAGAGCTTAGGTATTATAGATCACTTTTTGAAATGTTTTGTATTGAACCCCAATAAAACTTGAACATGTATATTTGTGGTGTTGGGATTTTTTTTTAACACTTTTGAAAATAGAAATTCATTTTAGGCTTTCCGGTGTTTGTTTGTTTTCTTTCTTAATTTTCTTCCCTAAACTTGAGTTCTAGGGTACTGCTGATACTTAATGTAAGGGGCCACCCAGAGTCCCTGAGGTGGGCAGACCACTGGCCTTCCTTTATTGTGATGAGTTAATGTTAGATAAACATGGTCATTCAAATGATATTGTTTAGTCCTTAACCTAAAAATGAAATGAGAGACCTATCACACCGAAGAAGAGGATATCATACACTGTCATTTACCAAGAATTTCCCCTGTTGCTTCTACCTTGATTTCCTGCATATCTTGGATGGGTAGGGTCAAGGGTAAGGATGGGTCAGTAAGAAATTGTCTATGCTATTGACTTTTAGTCCTTTAGTGATGCTAATAGGAACCAACCCATAATGATAAGCTTCTGTGTGGGAGGTTTCTAGTTTAACTTTCTGTGAAGTATAACTTTAAGGGTGGCAGAAGGCTGGCTTCACAAAACTTAATTGGCAAACATAGTTAATGACCTGGTCAGACTGTGGGAACTTGAGCTCCATCCCCAGAAATCAAGTAAAAAGCTCTGAATGGAGGTTCATTTGTATTCCTAATGCTCAGGGGATAAAGACAGAGGGATCCCTGGGGCTGCCGGCCAGCCAGTCTACTCTGTTCTGTGGGATTCTGTCCTGTAGTTTTAGGTTTTGTTATGGGAATAACACTTTCTGAATCAATTTTTTAGCATGAGATAGGAAAGTTGAATGTATTTCTTCAAATACAGATAGCCATTTGTTTAAGCGTGTTGTTGCAAAGGCTACTGTTAAGTCTGGAGCATAGCCCCAGCCCCTGGCATCCATCCCAGCCCCCTGGCCTGGGAGTTGCATTGGTCTGGACTCTAAATCCCAGCATGCCAGGTCCTGACCACTCCCACAGGGTATTTAAGTGGGCTCCCAGAGGAGACACTTCCTGTCTCCCTGCTATGTGCTCAACCACCCAAGAGTGACATATTTAATAAAACGATGAACATTTTAATTTGGTTTGATCTGACCTAATTGGATTTCTTTGCGCAGGTGGAGCCACCCATCCTGGGATTTTTTTTTCCTAAAAGCTACCCTCCTACTTATTTACAGTTTCTTCAAGTTCTTTCCCCACTGTGTAAATTTGCGCCTGCAGATCAGTGCTCGTGGAGGCATCAGACCCCTGGAACTGGAGTTAAATCCAGACTCATGTCCTCCGCAAGGACAGTACGAGCTCTGAACGAACCATTGAACCATCCCTCCAGCCCTTTTCTTTGCTCTCCTGAAATGAGTGGGTGTGTGCTCCTGTTTGACAGAATGTGCCATCTAGGCTAGGGGTGTGGTCACAGGCCTTTAGTCCCAGGATGCTGGAGGCAGGGGTAGGCAGGGCTACACAGTAAAACTCCCGACTCAATAAATAGGGGACTTACATGTATGCTCTGAAGGCTTTTTGACCCTGAGAGTTTGTTGGAGAAGCATGGTAACAATTTCTTTATTAATTAGTTCTTTGTAATAGGCATGGGAAGTAATGGAGTTCATTGTGGGATCTGTACACAACTTGGTTTTTATTCTCTTCTATCCCCGCTACTGCCCTCTTGGTAGTCCTCTTTTAGTAACCCCTACTTAAGATCTATTTCCCCTCATAGTCTCCTTTCTAGTTACTTTGCACCACATCCCTCTCTTCCATGTCTGTATTCAAAATCTGCACTCAGCCTGCCTAACATGTACACAGTCCTGGGTTCAGACCCTGGCACCGTATAGATTAGGTATGGTGATGTATGCAGGAAATTTAGGCCAACTTGGCCTACATGAGACTTGAACTCAAAAAAAAAAAGATGGCTCAGAGGTAAAGGTGCTTTTGCCACCAAGACGACCTGTGTTTGGTCTTCAGGATTCACATGGTAAGAGACCATGGATGGACTCCTGCAAGTTCCCAGACCAGCACATGTGCCTTGTGGCACCTGCATACTGCAGCCTCAGATTTAAAAAATACATTTGAATGAACCATAGAAATGATTTCTAAAAGTATGTCTTAATATGTTTTACAAATCTGAGATCTGTGTCTGACAGAATCTTTTTCCCTAAGGAAGGCTCCAACATATCCTTGCCTTGAAGGATATACACACCCCAGTGCCTGAGGGTATAAGATTGGGCTTTTCAGTGTGACCTGTTCGACTACCCAACTACCCAGGTAACATGCTCCATGATTCAGTGCTACTGTGACGTGACAGTTCTGCTTGCTGTCTTACAGTGGTGACGAAGTAAAGTGCTCATCCCAACACTAAATTGGGGACAGTACACCTCTGCAAAGATTCTTCCCCGGACTCCTATGTCCGCAATGGTGTTCATTGTAGGTTACCTCCCCCACTCACCCTGGAGTCTGCATTACCTGTCTCTAGGCTTTTCTTAGTGAGTTGAAATTCCAGCTTCAGCCTTACCACTTGTGGAATATGGGAGAAGTTAAGCTGGGGTTGATTGATCACTTGAAAGAGGGTTGGTAATATGTATCCAAAGGTGGAAATGATTGAGTTCCTGTGCTAAGTTTAGAGTAAATGCTACATTGTTTTTTTGGAGACAAAGTTTCCTTGTGTAGCCTTGGCTCTCCTGGGACTCACTCTGTAGTCTAGACTCTCCGGTCCTTGCCTCCCCAGTGCTGGGATTAAAGGTGTGCACCACCACCACTTGACATAACTATTAAATTTTCTTATTTTCCATCGACTTCCCTCTTGTTTTATTTTCAGGACTGGACTTTGCGGGAGGGACCCAGTATCTTATGTGAGGTTACCCTTTTGTCAGGGACTGAACGTTCTCACCAGCTGAGGCTTTTCTTCTGGGTTAGTCATGCTCCATGTTATTAGAATGCTACGGTTAGTTGACGTAGGGTTCTCATTCCATTTGTGCTTTGCTCAGTCCCCCATTAGCCACTATTTTAATACAATATACGTCATTTTGTGTAAGATCTTATTCAATATTTATTGGTTTTGTTGTTTGTTTTTTGAGACGGATTCTGTAGACCGGGTTGGCCTCAAAGACAGATCTGTCAGCTGGAATTAAAGGTGTGTGCCACCACGCCTGGCTGACCTTGAACTGTTGACTCCTCCCTCTTTCCCCTCTGGTGTGCTTGGATTATACTACCACAGCCAGTTTATAAAGTGCTAGGAATAGAACTAGGGCTTTGTTCATTCATGCTAGGCAAGCACTCTACCAAGTTAGAGCCCCAGTCCTCTATGGAAGCTTCGCACGTATACTTTAGATTACATTAATCTATAGTACTGGCATCTCTTGTTCCTTATGAACTGTTTGCCACCAATACTTGAGAGGTTTACCCAGAGGGCAAATAGGAATCTAGTCCGTTGCTTCAGGTTAGAGCACAGTGTTTATTCCTTGCTGATAATACACCACCAGAATTTGCCTACGCCTTCTTCCCAGCTTGATTCCTAAGCCCTCAGGTTGTGTGCCTGCGCATGCTCAGATCATGCTGACATCTGACCCTGGCTGTGAGCCTAGTGAATGTGGTTGCAGTGAATGTAGAGGAAGGTAGTGTGTGTCAAAGAATCATCGGGCAAGTTGTCTGTGGTGTTTAAGCCGGCGGCTTATTTCTATAGACTGTAGGGCAAGCTGCTTCAGCTTCTGCTGGGAGGGGCCCAAGCTTCAATGCCCTGTCACATGAGAGACGTCATAAGATTCAGTTGTCATATTCAGAAGTATCCATCATAAAGTTCTAAGAAATAAGCTTTGTAGATCCATGGGGAAAGCCCTCTGAGTCCCAAAGCAACTTGTGCTGGCACTTGGTGCACTTGAGCTTGTCCAGTCCCTGTTTTGAAGGTCATCCGTTCTGCCACCACAGTGCAGCAGTCACTTGGGATTTCAAACATTTGTGTCAGTTGGTCCTCTATGAGTCACAACATGTCGCTTGATTGTGATGTCCCCGCCTGCCAGACATTGCTAGCCACTCCCTTCCCATCTGCAAAGAGCACTGCTCAGACTGAAGGCATTTAGTTAACAGTCCCCGTATGCTATTGTGGGTATATCTCTTGAATTGCCTCTCTAGGATTTTCTTGATACTAATTCATTAT